TGTGACATAACCCCACTTTGTTTTCCCACTCTGTCCCAGCATCCATGAGTACAGGCTGACCAGCTGGCTGGGCCAGCAGGAGGACATCCACCGCATCGTGCTGTACCAGGCCGACAGCTCCCTGACCCCCTGGACCCAGCGCTGCATCCGCCAGGCCGACTGCATCCTCATCGTGGGGCTGGGGGACCAGGAGCCCACCGTGGGAGAGGTTGGGAACTCCCCTCTTTGCACCTCTGGCAGCCCAGCTCAAAGGGTGTCCTTCCACACTCAGGAGTTTTCTTGGGTTTAATGCCCAGCGAAGCGTAAATAATGAAATATTCCTGGGAAATGCTTGCTAGAAATGGGAAAAGAATTGCATGAGAACCCCCTGAAAGGTCAAGTTTTATGGAGGAGTGTTTCCAGCAAAGTTCTTTTTCTCTAAAGAGTCATTTTGGCCAATGGTAAATCAAAAGTAAATTGCTTTGAACCTTTGAGTTTCTGCCCAGAATTTCTTCACAGAGTCTCCACACAGAGAGAGAGAAATTCTTTTCTGCCTGGATGAAATTCATGGTGTGTGCCTAGGAAAAAGTAGATCTAAATTGCAGTGTATGAATAATTTAATCTATTTTATTACAGCTTGTAAGCTGTAATTTTTTTTCCTTTACTATCTATTTTTATTATTTTTATGTTTTATTACCTAAGTTTGACCAGGCACATAAATTCTACAAGAAATTTAAAAATAAGATCCCAAGTGGGGTTTTTTTTTTAGGACTGTGAAGTGCTGAGTCTGACTCCAAAGAGCCTGGACAGGTCCCACATGCAGCCTTTGTGTCCCTCTGTGCTGGTTCTCTGTGCCTGGGTGTGGGAGGCAGGGAGCACAGGCACAGCAGCTGCCAGCAGTTGCCTAAAACAACAAGAAAACAAGTCAAAATCAGAAATACAAGGAGAAAAAAGTGAACTGATGGGAAGGGAAAAAAGAAAACACGCTGAACATTTGTAGGCTTGAGTATGGCTTGGGAACATCTCGTGTTGCATGGAGAGGGTGTGTCTGCATGTGCATTTCATGGCCTGTTTTGGGTCAAAAGCATTTAGGTTTGAATCTTTGTCTGTGTGCCAGAAGTCTAAAATCAGACAAATCAGTTGTCTGAATCCATCATGTTTGGGGGTTCTTGCTGTGCAGAGTTCTCTGTGGGTTCAGGTGGGAATCAGGATGAGGGGGGTGTGTGTGTCTCATACCTGTTACACTGATACTGGAGCAGGCAGTACCTGACCCCCCATTCCTCTGGTGTCCCTCACCTGCTGTAGCTGGAGAGGATGCTGGAGAACACTGCAGTGAGAGCCCAGAAGCAGCTCATCCTGCTCCATAAGGAGGATGGGCCCCTCCCTTCCCGAACTGTGGAATGGCTCAACATGCGGAGCTGGTGTTCTGCTCATCTCCACCTCCACTGCCCACGCAGGGTCTTCTCCAAAAGGAGTCTGCCCAAGCTGGTAAGAGATTCCTGATGTGGTAGCTGGTCCCTTGCTGTCCCTCACTTTACCTGTAATCCATGTATCCAGAGGGATCTGGGATAATGATACTCCATGGTGTTCTGATGTGCAATGGGCTCTTACACAGACAGAGTTCTCTTTAGATCTATTTGACCTCAATTTAATAAAGGAAACAGGGATAAGGGGCCCATGTTTTCTTTAAGGATACATACTTGGATTTCTGATATCCTGAAGACAGTAAATACTGTCTCAGAGTCACTTTGAAAGGTATGTATGTGCCATAGATTCCTTTTTGTTGGGAGGATCCCTGTGCTTGCCAAAGCCATGCCAAAAATAAGGCAGAGGTAGCCTGGGGTGCTTCTCAGGAGCTTCAGATCTTTGTCAAGAAAGAAACAGCTCCAAAGGAAATACCATGAAAGTCTCCCAGCAGCTATGGAAGGCTGAGAGAGGCACTTGATCTCTGGAACTGTTTGGGTAGTTCACTGGCCCTCTGTTCCTTTGAAGAACAGATACCCACTTGGAACAGAATCATATACAGGTTCAGGCTGGAAGGGACCACAGTGGGTCATCCAGTGCCACCTCCCTGCTCAAGCAGGGTCCCCTGGAGCAGTCACCCAGGATTGTGTCCAGATAGTTCTGGAATATCCCCAGTGAGGAGACTCCACACCCTCTCTGGTCACTGCACAGCAAAGAAGTTCTTCCTCATGTTCAGGTGGAACTTCCTGGGCATCAGTTCCTGCCTGTTCCTCTTGTCCCATTGCTGGGCCCCCCCAAGCAGAGCTTGGTCCATCTCTGCCCCCTCCCTGCAGGCACTGATGGACATGGATGAGGTTCCCTCTCAGTCTTCTCTTCCTGAGGCTGAACAGCCCCAGCTCCCCCAGCTTTCCCTCTCAAGAGAGGTGCTCCAGTCCCCTCATCTTTGTAGCATCTTTCACCAGGATGCTGTTGGCTGACTCTCCTGTGCCTCTCCTCTGCAGATAGAGATGTATGAACGGGTGTTCCAGAAGCCACCGGACCGTCACTCCGACTTCTCCCGCCTGGCCCGTGTCCTGACCGGGAACGCCATAGCGCTGGTGCTGGGGGGTGGAGGGGCCAGGTAGGTGACTTACTAGGGCTGGATGGGGCTTGGAGCAGCTTGGTCTAGTGGAAGATGTCCCTGCCCATGGTAGGGGGGTGGAACTGGGTGGTCTTTAAGGTCCCTTCCAGCCCAGCCCAGTCGGTGCTGGTGCATTGCTCCCGGATCTGAGCGCTCCAGGGCCACGGGGCTGTGACAGATCCCACAGGATAACAGGCATCCTGGAACATCCTGTTCTGCAAACAACGTTTGGGGGTGAAACTTAATGTGCTGGGGGGTTTTGTGCTCAATTTCTGCAGAAGGAACACGAGTGTTTGTGACCTCCTGAGACCTCTCATAAGTTGGGTTTAATACCAGGAGGTGACCAGAGCACTGAACATGATGCTTCTTTCTGTTGGCCTACACTGTGGATTTTTTCCTCTATGGATTCTTATATTAGAAAATGGCTCACAACATTTCAAAGGCCCCCAAAGCTCTTCAAAGTTGGAGCAGTAAGAGGAATTATTTCCTCTAATGGAGAATGTTCTCGTCTGTACAATCCCCCAAGCCCCCAGGTACCCACACTTTGACAGCCTTACCTTGCAGAAAGAGTGTATTTTTGCAGACACAAGGACAAGGTGTGTGCTGAACACTCTGTTAGAATTCCACCTGAATCCCCAGTGAGCTTTAGAAATAAATTATTACTGGCATTTTTCTTTGGAATCTCTTTTTACTTTGAGAGTTTAATGTCGAGACAGAATTGAGCCGCCCTTTGTCTAAAGCGAGTGCCGCCTTCGTTGTCTCCATCACTGTGTTCTTGAAGCCCTGCTTTAAAACAGTGCTTTGAAATACAGCTCTCAAAAATAAAATCCATAACTTGCACACAGTCTGTCTGTTTAAGCCCATGGAAATATCACGTTTCTGTCTTTGGGCCAGCGCGTGCTCTGGGGGAACGTTCACTGCAGTGCAGGTTGGAGCTCCTTTGTGGCAGCTTGTCCTCATTAGTCACTTGGTGCTGAGACAGCCACTGTTTGGCTGGTTCCTTGGGTGCCTGCACAGGTGCCTTCATCCTGCTCCCTCTGAGTGCCTCACCTGAGCTGATTTCAGGATTTCATTTCTGAGACAGGCTCTGCCCTGTGGAGACACAAAGCAGAGCAGAGGAGGGGAGCCTCTGTTTAATCTGAGCTTCTCAGGAGGCTTCTCATCAACTGATACAAGGCACTTGTGGCTTGTTCTTTGTTACCAGCTGGTATCTCTGCCTCTACCCAAGCCTGTGTCAAGCTAAATACGTGCACTCCTGTACTGCTGGCAGCACACTGTGCCCGTTCCCTTCCTTCCTCCCTTCTGTAAACACAGCTGTAATTTTTGCCAAACTTTATTTCTTTTGTTCTATTACTTAATTTACAAGCTCCCACCTGTGGGTGTGCAGGATCCCAGGTAAGGAAGAGCAGGATCATTGAGCCTGTGTTGGTCCTGTGTTGTCCTTCTCTGCAGAGCTGCTGCTGTGTTGGCTTTGGGGGCTCTGGTTGCACATCACCCCTTCAGCAACGTGACCTGTGCCATTAATCTGCTCATTTCTGCATCTGTGCAATATGAGGGACTTGGAGAGGATTAAATGGCAGAGTGGATAAATAAGATATTTCTTCTTTCTCTGAAGCTCTGTGGCCTTAAAGTGCTTGTTCAGGGGGTTCAGGCTGACACATGGCTGGTGTGAGCATTGTGTTTTCCATGCAAAGGCACAGAATGCTGGTTTTGTCATTGAATCATCATCTAAATTGTGGTTAGATAAAAGACCTGGTTTTCTTAAAAGATTGTTTTAAAAGTGAGAATAGTGGGGAAAGGACAAAATTACTCTGAACTCTGTAAAATTTGCCTTTGGAAGGGCAAAGTGAGTTCTTAGTTTCCCCATTTCTATTAACAAGAGAACTTCAAGAGATTAGGCACCAGGTACTTAAAATCATCCTGTGATTAAAGCCTGTTCTAACTAAAACCATCTTCATGGGTCGCTGCACAGACTGTTCATAGTCAGTGTGGCCTTTGGATAATAATTATATGAAGTAACCTCCCACCTTGTTCTCAGAGCATGAATCATGCTGGTCACACAACCAGAGAGAGGAAATCCTGACAGGGGCTGGCTGGTGGGTATTTGTTCAAGGGATTGTGTTCTGGGACTCCAGTAATCTCAATTATTTAGTTGTTATTTTGGGAATGTTTGTCTGGCTTCCCAGTGACAGTTGGATTGGGAGGTTTTACCAACAGCAGCTTCCCAGTAATTATCATTGTGGTTTGTCATGACAAAAGGCTCAGAGGAACTAAAGGTTTTCTTTCTCTTGTGAGCATAAAAATAAAACAACTTGAAGTGATACAGTTCAAAAATTACAGTGTTTTGCTTTTGTGAAGCACTAACTTAATTTCAGTTAGAAACATTGTGGAGCTTGAGAGAAGGAAAGGGGATTTGTGTTTAGGAAAATAATACCTTTGAAAAGTAGTTGCAAGAATAATGACACATCAAGCCCTGCAACAAAGGCATAAACCCTCCCATAAATAATTGTCCTGACCTTTAACCCTCCCACATACAGCCCACTTTGCTTTGCTGTGGTTGTCTGAGCAAAGCTGTTTGAAAACTAAAATTTATAGGAAGTAAATAATTAGTACAGAAGTATCTGGGAATCCCTCGGGCTTTGGGGAGTAAAAATATTGAGTTGTGCTGTCACAGAACCACAGAATGTCCTGAGCTGAGGGGGACCCACAAGGATCATGGCCCTGCACAGGACACCTCAGAAATCCCACCCTGTGCCTGACTTCAGCAAAACTGGGATCACAAGCTTTGTTGTTGATGATAATGCCACTATTCCAGGAATGAATGTGGTGCCTATTCCATGTAGGCATAATGGGAAAATCCAAAGCATTGGAGCTGCCCCAGGTTGGGTATTTGTAGTAAAGCACATGATACAAGTCCGTGGTGTGCATGAGATGTGCTTATTGAGAAGGAAAGGGCTGTGGGGATAAGGAATTACTTCTCTTTTTTGGGTGTACTGTCTCCACTAACAGTCAGCTGCTCATGCTAGGAAGGAATTCAAGTGCTGCCAGAGCCCTTTACCAGCCCATACCTGCTATGCCTTCCCTTCCCTTCCTTCAGGCAGAGCATTTAAACCTTCCCTCAGGAGCTGCTGTTGACGGATATTTGTAAATAATTTCATCAGGGCATCTTTTCATTTCTCCTTTTTCCCCTTTAGCTTTCTCCTCAAGCTCATTATCTCACCTCAGCACTCAATATGTCAAGCAGTTGGGTTTTTTCCACACAGCTTTCTTGCTGACACTACGGATGTGGCTCAGACCTTTTCATTTTGGGCAGTTGGCCTGGTTCAGCAACTTGTTCTTTCTGCACTTTGTTCTTTTGTTTCCAACTCTGGCCCTCTGAAAAGGGAGGATAAAAGAGCAGTGTAGGAGAAGCTGTGGAGATCTCTGGTATGGAGATCTCTGTGTCTGATGGATGCTCTTGTTGCCTTGTCTGTCTGTCTGTCTGTGCTCCTGCAGCCTGTGCCATGTGCAGGGTGCTCACACTCCAGGCTTTTAGAGAAGGTCCAGCTACCACCTCATTTCCAGGCTGCTGCTGGGCCTGACTTGGGTCTCTGAGCTCCTTAAAGCCTGGCTTTATCTTCCCTTTCAATGGTTTGACCCAGTGATGAAAAGGCTGGAAGAGATCTGCAGATCTCAGTTGCTCTGCTCTCAGGAGACCACATTTGCCCTCTGCACTCTGTGTTTGCTCCAAGCCCCCTGGCTGCACAGGGAATAAACCATGGGGGCTTTTCTGTTGCTGTATCTGTGATGTTTGGCTGCAGCTCCAGCTCGTTCAGGCAACTGCTTATCAGTCTTGTCTTCTCTGCCACCAGACCCTGATCTGTTCTTCCAGAAGGCACAAAGAGAGGATTTGTTTGTCCTGTGTCTGCACAGGGACAAAGCCTTGCAGCTTCTGAGCAATCCCTGGCGTAGCCAAGTTGGGGGGAACTGCCCTCTGTGCCTGGAAGGGACCAAGGGATGCCAGATCAGACTGTCCTACGTGGTGGGTGTAGCAAGGACCAGGTAGAACATGCCCACAGCCACCTCAGGGCGTGGTGGATACACATGCACATCTCCCAGTGAGGTACCAGGAGCGTTTTTGAAGGCTGGGTCAAGCGTGGCAGCACGTTGGGAGGTTTCCCAGCTGTGCCCTTTGTGTCCCTGAGCAATCTTGGTGGAAAGGAATTGGTGGAAAGCTCCCAACATAACCTGAGGAAAAATTTTAAACAGGCATTTTGAGAACTTTAGAAGCTCATATTCCTCTTCTGAGTCTTGATGCTTTGAGCATGCAGGTGTGGCTGGGGGGGTGAGGAGCTCCTGCACGTGAACAAACCCTGTGGTGCTTCCCTGCTCCATCTTGCTAAAAAAGGAATTGAGTTTGGGGATTGATGACCTGCTCTACCCATGTAAAACACTTTAAAGCACGTAAGTGCCGTGCTGTGAGATATTATATCACTTCTCTAGAGTCTTTGCAGGTTGTCTGGGGAGCTCCTGGCTGCCTTTAGCAGGCACAGGGACGTGTTGCTGCTGTTCATGGCTGGTGACGCAGCGTTTTAATTACACCCCCAGCAATTAAGTGGTATCAGAGCTGGCATGATGCAGAAGCTGAATTTGCAGTATGCTCATGTGAGTAGTCAGAAAAGATCAATAAAGATGCTGGTAAGTTTTGGGGGTCGATTTGTTTTTCTGTTTGGTTTGTTATTTTAACTTGGAGAGGAGCCTTAAAACACACAAAGCCCTTGTGGTCCCACCCTGGCTGGGGACAGCTCTTTCTTAATTGTGTCCTTTTCTCATGATAATTGAACAGATGAGGGTTTGGTGGTTATCCTGTCACGTTGCTGCTCAGTGCTTCCTAATTAATTGGATTTTGCCATCTTAACTCTGAGAAACTTTCACTTCTGCACTGCACAGGGCAGGTCTTCAGTGTTTGGTGGGAAGGTCACTGCAGGCAACAGAAACTCCTCTTTCACTTCATGTGAAAT